CAGAAGGTTACGGTTGAACTGTGTCCTCGAAAAAGATATATTGAAGTTCTAACCCATGGTACCTGTGAAAGGGACCTTATTAAAAATTGAGTCTTACTGAAAATTGATTACACACATAATCAAGTTAAAATGAGTTCAGGGATCCCTGGGTGGCGCAGCGGTTTGGCGCCTGCCTTTGGCCCAGGGCGCGATCCTGGAGACCTGGGGTCAAATCCCACGTCGGGCTCCCGGTGCATGGAGCCTGCTTCTCCCTCTGCCTGTGTCTCTGCCTCTCTCTCTCTCTCTCTCTCCCTGTGTGACTATCATAAATAAATAAAAATTAAAAATAAAATAAAATGAGTTCATTCTGAAGTAATGTGAGCCTTTAGTCTAATAGAAATCGTGTCCTTCCATGAAGGGGAGAAGAGACACAGAAACAGGCTCCCATGGAGAAAATCACCATGTAAAGACAGATCCTCAGGGAAGAAAGCCATATGAAGACCGAGGCAGAGGTTGGAGTTATGCACCTGCAAGCCAAGGAATCCCAAGGACTGCCAGCAACGACCAGAAGCTAAGAAGACCAGAAGCTAAGAAGAGGCACGAAAGGGCCCTCCCCTAGAGCCATCAAGATAGCAAAGCCCTGCTGACACCTTGATTTTGGACTTTAAAGCCTCCAGCACTGCGAGAAGAATACGTTTCTGTTATTTTAAGTCACCCGGTTTGTGTCATTTTGTTACTGTAGCCCTAGGAAACAAATACACCATAGGATAGAATGCCATTCAGCAGTAACAGAAGAGTACTGATACATTCTACAACATGGATGAAACTCAAAAACATAATGTTGAGTGAAAGAAACCTGTCATGAGATAACACAAATTGTATGATTCCATTTATACAAAATATTCAGGTCTATAACTGGCAGAAAGATTAGTGGTTGCCTAGGGCTCGCATTCTGGGGAATGACTGCTAATTGGCAGGGGTTTCTTTTTGGGGCGACGAGAATGTTCTAAAATTAAATTGTGGTGATGTCTGCACAACTGTGAATGCGCTAAAAACCACTGAATTGTACATGTTAAACAATGAGTTATGTAAATTACATCTTGATAAAGTCACTTAAAAATTATTTGACAAGCTAATTCTAAAAATCTGGAAAAGAAATTCTAGGATTAGTTCCCAAAATAGTTTTTTAAATGAGTATGTGAGCTGATAAAGTATACAATTTTCAATAAAATAATGACAGTAATAATCATAAGGGAATATTTATCCCACTACGTATCAAAACAGAACATTTATTCAACGTTAAGATATTGTGGTATTGGTCCAACAAAACAGTAAATTAGGCCGCAGAACAGAAGACAGTCCAGAAATTGATTGTGTATGTGTGAGAAAGTAGTAAATGATAAATGTGGCATTTCAGATTAATGGGTCAAGAATGCATTTAATATTCAGAGTGACACTGTTGGGAAAACAGTAATTATGCTCACACCATTCACTTATTCACACACATCCAGAGGAATTAAAGAAAAACTCAAACACATAAGAATATATAGGAGAAAAGACAGTCATAAGAGAAAACCCTGGGGCACCTGGGTGGCTCAGGTGATAATCTCAGGACCCTGGGATCGAGCCCAGTGTCAGGCTCCCTGCTCAGTGGGGAGTCTGCTTCTCCCTCTCCCTCTGCCCCTTCTCCTGCTCAATCTCTCCCCCTCATCTCTCTCAAATAAATATAAAATCTTAAAAAGAAAAATAGAAAGGAAGTAAGGAATAAAAGAAAGAAAGACAGAAAATCCTGTTGTGTCTTAGGGTAGAACAGGGTTCTTCAACCTCAGCATTACTAACATTTTAGTCCAGAAAAATTCTTTGTTGTGGAGGGCTTTCCTTTGCATTGCAGGATGTTTAGCAGCATCCCTGGTTTCCACCCAGCAGATGCCCTCATACCACAACCCCAGTTAGACAACCGAAAAATGTCTGCTCACATTACCAAACTAGCCCCTAGCAGGCAAAATATCTCCCACTGGAGAACAGCTCTGGTAGGGAATGACAGCAACAAGATACAAAATACACAAAATACACAAAAGACTGATACTTTTATTGTGAAATTTAAAACTATGATTTGACAAAGATGTCATGTAGTTAAAAGACAAGCATCAATTTTAAAAAGCACTAAGTTGGGGGCAGCCGGGGCGGCTCAGCGGTTTAGCGCCGCCTTCAGCCCAGGGCCTGATCCTGGAGCCCGGGGATCGAGTCCCACACTGGGCTCCCTGCATGGAGCCTGCTTCTCCCTCTGCCTGCATCTCTGCCTCTATCTCATTCTGTGTCTCTCGTGAATAAATAAATAAAATCTTTAAAAATAAAAAAATAAAAAGCACTAAGTTGGGAATAAAGATAACAAATATAAATGACAAAAGATTATATCCAAAATACATTAAAAACTATATATAAAAAACCAACCCAATTGAAATGAGATATTTCTTGAAAGAGTAAATACAAACAGCCAACAATCATGAAAAGATATCCAATCTCTCTAGTAACTAAGGAAATACAAAGTAAAACACAAATTAGAATCATTTTTCACCCATTAGATTGGCAAAAATGAAAAAGATTAATAGCATCAAATGTTTAAAAGAGGGTTGCCTGGGTGGCTGTCAGTTGAACATCTGCCTTCAGCTCAGGTCACGATCCCAGGGTCCTGGGATCCAACCTCCCATCGGGCTCCCTGCTGCAGGAAACCTGCTTCTCCCTCTGCCTCTCCATCTCCCACTCCCCTGCTTATGCTCTCTCTCTCACTCTCTTGTTCTCTCAAAAAAATATAAAATATATTTTTTTAATGTTTAAAAGAGCTAGGGAAATAGACATTATTATGCACTGTTGGTGGGCAGTTTGGCATTAAATGTCCACACCCTCCCACCCAGCTATTCAGTCTCAGGTTTGAAATATTCACCTAGGCACAGAGACACATGTGGAAGGAGGTTCTCTGACACACTGTGTTTGTAGCAATCTATGGAATCTCACATACTACAAAATCTTACAGCACGGAATTTATGGACCAAGTAGAAATAATAAGGTAGATCTCTACATACATAGGGACAAAGAAAAAGTTTTAAGACCCATTTTTAAGAATAAAAGCCAAGTTTCTGGGACACCTGGGTGGCTCAGGTCCATCAGGTCATGATTTGAAAGTCCCCAGGGATCAAGTCCTGCATCCAGCCACCTGCCCGGAGCCTGCTTCTCCCTCTGCCTGTGTCTCTGTCCCTCTGTCTCTCATGAATAAATAAATAAAATATTATAAAAAAATTAAAAGTCAAGTTTCTGAATAGGTGCAATATGCCATATTTGTAAAATATGTATTAGTAAAAGTTTAACATGAAAAAAAAAGTTTAACATGAAATCTTACATATACGTAACTAATATGAATACTTGTCAAAAAATGTAAAGAAAAAGAAACAACAACAACAACAAAAACACATCCCAAGCCGTTAACAGGTCTTAGAGGTAAGAGATTAAAGAAGATAGAGATGGAAAGAGATCAAAAAGGAACCATTTTGTTTAAATTTCTCACATGAATTTTATTTTTAAAAAAATTTTTAGATTTATTTATTTAATCATGAGACACGACACACACACACAGAGACAGGCAGAGACACAGGTAGAGGGAGAAGCAGGCCCGGGGCAGGGAGCCCGACGTGGGACCCGATCCCGGGTCTCCACGACCAGGCCCTGGGCTGAAGGCGGCGCTAAACTGCTGAGCCACCCAGGCTGCCCTGAATTTTTTTAAATGCTGTATACGTGGACTACAACTAAAATAAATATAAAAAAAAAAAAAAAATACATTTTTAAAACGAGCTCAAAAAAAAAAAAAAAAAAGCTCAACTTGACCAAGACGATTCAGTACTTCCCGCATTAGATTGCTTTCCTCCCGCACTTCCTAATTCTGATAATTAACAAAATCTTCCGTGCAGTTTCTTCTATCCATGTAATACAACAAAAAAAAAAAAAAAAGAAAGAAAAAAAAGAAAGGACGAAAGAAAAAGAAAAAAATATATATATGGTATGGGGGGGGGGCCTGGCTGGCTCAGCCGGTGGAGCAGGCCGCACTCGTGATCTTGGGGCTGTGAGAGGGAGCCCCACGCTGGGGGTAGAGATCATTTAAAAAGATTTTTTTTTTATTTTTTTTTTTTTTTAATTTTTTTTATTTATTTATGATATCACAGAGAGAGAGAGAGAGAGGCAGAGACACAGGCAGAGGGAGAAGCAGGCTCCATGCACCGGGAGCCCGATGTGGGATTCGATCCCGGGTCTCCAGGATCGCGCCCGGGGCCAAAGGTAGGCGCCAAACCGCTGCGCCACCCAGGGATCCCTTTTTTTTTATTTTTAAAAATATAAGTAATGCAGCGTTTTCTAAGGGAGTTTGCGTCCAATCAGTATCTCAAGAGCTTAGAAAGGGTTGGGTCTGCTTCCGATTCACTGAGCAAGCATCAATCCCGCAGCCATCTCCCGGCTTCCAGGTTGGAGCGGCGGCTCCCAGCAGGGCCCGCAGCAGCGGGTGCGCCTGCGAGGAAAGGGGCGGCAACCGGGGGCGGGGGCAGGTCCCCACGACCGCAGCGGCGGGAGCGCGCGGCGCCGGAGGAGTTGCCAGGTGCCGGGGGCGGTGTCTGCCGGGCTGACGGGGTCCAGAAGCCCCGTAAGAAGGCTTGGCGGGTGCTCCCAGAGAAGGCGGAGGGGCCCCGAGGGGGCGGCCGGGAGCGCGCGGTGGGCCGCGGCCCGCGCCGAGAGCCGCTGCAGCACACCTGGGCGCTGAACCGCCGCGGGGGGCGGGGGCGGGGGCGGGGGGCTGCGCGGGGGGAGGGGAAGAAGGGATGGGCCAAGTCGCTGGGGGACGGCGGGGTCCACGCAATAAGTCGCCCCCGCACCCAGTGACATCTCCAGCTCCACAACGCCTCTCCTCGATCCGCACTGGAAGCCCCCTCCTTCCCTCGCACAAGGCGGGTAAAAGGCCCCGCGGGTCCTTTAGTCTCACTTACCTGCGACCCAGGACCCAACCTGAACACCTGCGGCACCTCACGCTGAGGACCTGGAACCCTCCTCGGCCACCTGCGCGCACCCACCCGGATCCACTAGGGCCGAAACCACTTCCGGTCCTGCGGCGGGCTGGAAGACGTAAACCTAGCAGGGAGGTACGCATGGGCGGCGCCATGTCGTACGGAAGCTGCTGCTGGGCCAGCTGTTCCCTCCCCAGTTTCTCCACTGCTGAACAAAGGGTCTGTTAGAATTGGAAAGGCTTAAACTCTCTTGAAAAAAGGGGTGTTTTTGTTTCTGTATTGGTTTTGGTTTTATTTACTTTTTTTTATTTTTTTATTTTTTTAATTTATTTATGATAGCCATCACAGAGAGAGAGAGAGAGAGAGAGAGAGAGAGAGAGAGAGAGAGGGAGGCAGAGACACAGGCAGAGGGAGAAGCAGGCTCCATGCACCGGGAGCCCGATGTGGGATTCCATCCCGGGTCTCCAGGATCGCACCCTGGGCCAAAGGCAGGCGCCAAACCGCTGCGCCACCCAGGGATCCCTATTTACTTATTTTTAAAGATTTTATTTATTTATTCATGAGAGACACAGAGAGAGAGAGAGGCAGAGACTCAGGCAGAGGGAGAAGCAGGCTCCACGCAGGGAGCCCGACGTGGGACTCGATCCCGGGTCTCCAGGGTCACGCCCTGGGCCGAAGGCAGGCGCTAAACCGCTGAGGTTTTAGTTTTAACAGGAGAAGCCTCTGGAATCCTCACAAATGCAACATGGAACGTCTAATTGTTATTACTAATTAGCTCAAATAATGTTACTCTATCACACTAATTTTCTTGACTATTTAACGATAAAGGTAAATAAGAGAGACACTTGTTTACATAATGCATTCTTGATTAGCAGTGTATTTAATCCTATTGCCATAATAATAATCATGCTATCTTTTATAACAATAACCACAATACCTTATATTTATATTTAAAATCATCAGTCAACTAGTCTTTGTCAACAACTATTATATGTGAAGAGGCTAATGGGTGCTATGTATTGTTACTCTGTCATAAGAAGTGTAGCAGGAGAAACGAGATGAACATAAAGAATATAAGGTGTAATAATAGCTGCCATTTGTTGACTATGTACATGCAGTGTGCTAGGAACTTTGCAAACTGCTTTATGTATTTTATCTCATTTAATCCTTAAAACAGCCTCCTGAAGCAGTATTATTATTAGTGGCATTTTGCATAAAATGGAAAAAGGTTAAATAAATTTCTCAAGTTTGGAGCTGAGAATCAAACCTCAGTATATCTTCTTGCAAAGCTTGTTGCCCTCATTCTCTATATTATATTACCTCCCATATAGGAGGAAGTTCTAAATTCCATGAGGTAAGTACCCATAAGGGAGAAATTTATGGCAAATATAGAGGATTAATCCCCTGCATTTTAATTTCTCCATCCTGAAACACCTTAAAAAAAAACCAAAAAACAAAAATAAAGAGGAAATGCAAATAAAAACCACAATGAGATACCATTACCTACCAACCAGAAAGGTTAAAATGAAAGAGACAGAAAATACCAAGTATTGACAAGGTTGTGGAGCAACCAAAACTCTCATATGCTGCTGAGGGAATATAAATTGGTACAGTCATTTTGTTTAACTGTTTGGCAATATCAACTAAAGTTGAGTATATGTATAGCCTGGGTCCCAACAGTTTCACTCTGAGGTATACACCCAACAGAAGTGGATACATATGTTCACTGAAAGGAAAAATTCAAAAAGGAAACAAAAAAGCCCATACCTGTCATTGGCAATAGCCCTAAGCTGGAAACTACCCAAATCCCTATGCTGTCAGAAGTCGGTATGGAGTAATGACTCTGGAAGAGAACATCGGTAGGCTCACAAAGTGCTGATAATGTTCTATTTCTCAATCTGAGTACTGATTTACATGTATGTTCAGGTTGCATATTTGTGGGCACTTTCCTGAATTCATATATACTTCAATAAAAAGTTTTTTTTTTTTAATGAAAGTAAAGGAGTGAAAAGTTTATAAACCCAAAGAAGAAAAAGAATACAAGGGCAGCCCCTGTGGCGCAGCGGTTTAGCACCGCCTGCAGCCTGGGGTGTGATCCTGGAGGCCCGGGATCGAGTCCCATGTCAGGCTCCCTGCATGGAGTCGGCTTCTCCCTCTGCCTGTGTCTCTGCCTCTCTCTCTCTCTCTCTCTGTGTGTGTCTCTATGAATAAATAAATAAAACATTTAAAAAAATATGAGTGGAGGTATCAGCAGACAAACAAATCTCGGTGTAACTTTCTAAGACGAATTTGATTAGAATGACAGAATATTGATATTTGAGGGATCCCATTGAGGAGGAGCAGAATACATGACACCAACATATGCCACTTTGGCATTATGGATTATTTTGAGTTAAAGACAGTTAAGACCCAGCAGGTTTGGGCAGCCCAGGTGGCTCAGAGGTTTAGCGCCACCTTCAACCCAGGTCATGATCCTGGAGACCCAGGATGGAGTCCCACATCGGGCTCCCTGCATGGAGCCTGCTTCTCGCTCTGCCTGTGTCTCTGCCTCTCTCTCTCTGTGTGTGTCTCTCATGAATAAATAAATAAAATCTTAAAAAAAAAAAAAAAAGACCCAGCAGATTCAAGAAAAGTTTTTACCTTTCCTTTAACTATCTGAAAGAATTTAGAATGGGGGTCTGGCCCAGAAAAAGAGCTATTACTGGAGATAATTTTTAATAACTTTTTAATATGTGGCAGGCCAAATATCTAGTTACCATAAATCTGCTCTTCTTATTGTCCTGTGAATTACCCTCCTCCCATTTGAAGCCCCGGGCCCCTATCCTAATCTTTAGCTTAAGATGGCATATAAGCTTCAATTGCCTGGTTTATCCTTGGGTCTCGTTCTTATAGGGCTCTCATAGGTACATAATTAAATTTGTTCTCTCCTGTCTTATGTATGTAATCTGTCTTGTGTCAATTTAATTAATAGGCCAGCCAGAACTATCTAGAAGGGTAGAGGAAAAATATTTTCACCCCTACACTATAATACACTGTCTGGGTCCATAAGCAATCACCCTAAGTGGAAAGTCCAATCCAACAAGCCCCATTTGTACATAAAGGATTCCCCATCAGCTTTTCAGTACCTCACTCTTTGTCTTGGTCTTTTTGGACTATTGTAACAAGATACCATCGAGCAGGTGGCTTATAAAGAGCAAGAATTGATTTCTCATAGTTTTGTAGGCTGGAAAGTCAATGATCAAGATGCTGACAGGTTTATTTTGGTGAGTGCCTGCTATCTACTTCACAGACTGCTATATTTTCGTTGTGCTTTCACGTGGCCAAGGGATAAGGAACTCTCCTGGGCCTCTTTTATAAGGCACTAATCTCATTCATGAGGGTTCACTCTCATGACCTAATCACCTCCCAAAGCCCTCACCTCCTGATACCAGGAGGGGTTAGTTTTCTTTTTTTTTTTTTTTTTTTAAGAGTTTATTTATTTATTCATGAGAGACACAGAGAGAGAGAGGAGGGAGGCCGGGACACAGGCAGAGGGAGAAACAGGCTACATGCAGGGAGCCCGACACGAAACTTGATCCTGGGTCTCCAGGATCAAGCCCTGGACTGAAGGTGGCACTAAACTGCTGAGTCACCTGGGCTGCCTGGGGGTTAGTTTTCAACATGTGAATTTTGAAAGAGACAAAACATTCAATCAATAGCACCTACATATGTAATGATATCCAAGAATCACCAGCCATTGCAGGAATATCTCCAACACCATAATTAACATTTTCATTTTTTTTTAAGAGGGAGAGAGAGCATGTACAGGAGTGGGGGAGGGGCTGAGGAAGAGAGAGAATCTTTTTTTTTTTTTTTTTTTGAAAGAGAGAATCTTAAGCAGACTCCACATTCAGCATAGAGCCCAATACAGGGCTCAATCTCACAACCCTGAGATCATGACCTAAGTCAAAATCAAGAGTCAGATGCTTAACCAACTGAGCCACCCAGATACCCCATTAATTAATATTTTCTAAAGAACAGGTATAGAACTCTACACCCAACATTTTGAGAACACAAATACTTTTAAAACTTACAAGGAAGATTTAAGAAAATTAATTTTTTTAGCCCATTGAGCAACTCTCTATGAAGAGCAAAAAATTGCTATCATACAGATCTCATTCTTTGATCATATTACAATTAAATTAGAAGTCAATAAAAAAATCATTTTTGTGACCCCTGGGTGGCTCAGTTGTTGAGCTTCCACCTTCAGCTCAGGGCATGATCCCGGAGTGCCAGGATCAAGTCCCACATTGGGCTCCCTGCATGGAGCCTCCTTTCCCTCTGTCTTTGTCTCTACCTCTCTCTGTGTCTCTCATGAATAAATAAATAAAATCTTTAAAATAATAATAATTATAAAATTATTTTTACTGTCCATATTTGGAGATTTAAAAAACATCTTTTTTAAAAAAAGATTTTATTTATTTATTTATTTATTTATTTATTTATTTATTTATGAGAGAGACAGAGACAACACAAGCTGTGGGAGAGGGACAAGCAGACTCCCCATTGAGTGGGGAGCCCCACCCAGGGCTTAATCCTCAGACCCTGAGATCATGACCTGAGCCGAAGTCAGACCCTTAACCAACAGAGCTACCTAATTGCTCCTGGAGATTTAAAAAACATCTTAATAACAGGTCAAAGAAGAAATTCCAATGGAAAGTATTTTAAAAAGATTTTATTTATTTATTCATGAGAGACACAGAGAGAGAGAGAGGCAGAGACACAGGCAGAGGGAGAAGCAGGTTCCATGCAGGGAGCCTGACATGGGACTTGATCTCAGGTCTCCAGGATCAGGCCCTGGGTCAAAGGCAGTGCTAAACCACTAAGCCACCCGGGCTGCCCCCTGGAAAGTTTTAATATTAGACTTGAGAGGTAATAAAAATACTATATATGAAAATTTATAGGATACAGGTAAAGTAATAACCTTATATGCATTTATAATGGAAAATAAGACTAAAAATTATTAAGTGATCATCCTAATACATTAGAAGAAACAAAAAATAAATTCAAGATAGAAGGAAGAATATAAAGACAAAGAAGACAAAGATTAATAAAAT